CTGAATAAATTATGAGGAAAGAAAAAGGGGAAAAAAGAAATGGTTACACTAGACTGGTGCTTAAGAGACCTGAATTCAAGTCCCTACACTGCTGTAGGCTTCCTGTGTGATCTTGGGCAAGTCATTTAGCTGTCCAGAGAGGAAACTGAGGCACAGAGCAACGACAATAATAGCACTGCCCTACCTCATGGAGGGGAGGGGGTGTACTGTAAGGACAAATGCTCTAAAGATTGTGAGCCACTCAGATACTATAGCCATATAAAGCTCTTACCCAGACCAAAAAAAACCACAACAACCCGTGGAAGTTTTTGATTTTTGCCATTTAAAATGGAAACTTTACAACATGAAGGGAGCCAGATGAAACAGTGATATCTACTTCCTGAGCAAATGCAAGAAACAAATTATTATCCCTATCTTGTCTGCTTAACTATCTGTCCAAATTTGTATTTAGCTCAGATACTCAACTTCCTCCCCCAGACCTGAAGAAGAGCTCTGTATAACTAAGGGTATGTCTACACTAGCCCCCTAGTTCGAACTAGGGAGGCTAAATTAGGCATTCGAAGTTGCAAATCAAGCTTGGGATTTAAATATCCCGCGCTTGATTTGCATCTTCCCTGCTGGTCGCCATTTTTGAAATTTACAAGTTCGGACTAACTGCCCTCGTCTGCACGCACCATGGACCCGGTAGTTCAAAATAAATCCTTAGTTCGAACTACCTGTTATTCCTCCTGGAATGAGTTCGAACTGGAGGCTAGTGTAGACATACCCTAAGAACACAAGAACAGCCATACTGGGTCAGACCAAAGGTCCATCTAGCCCAGTATCCTGTCATCTGACAGTAGCCATGCCAGATGCCCCAGAAGGAGTGAGCAGAACAGGAAATCAAGTGATCCCTCCCCTGTCATCCATTTCCAGCCCCTGATAAACAGAGGCTAGGGACACCATTCCTACCCAGTCTGGCTAATAAGTATTGACGGGCCTAACCTTCATGAATTTATCTAGTTATTTTTTGAACCCTGTTAAAGTCCTGGTGTTCACAACTTCCTTTGGCAAGGAGTTCCACAGGTTGACTGTGTGCTGTGTGAAGAAGTACTTTCTTTTGTTTGTTTTAAACCTGCTACCTATTCATTTCATTTGATGACTCCTAGTTCTTGAAAGCTTATACATTCCACCAACACACATTGGTTCAATAATAGATATATTACTTCACGATCCTTGTCTAATATCCTGGGGGAAAACATAGCTAAAACATTGCACACAAAAATCTAGTTGACATTAAAGAAAGTCTGTAAGACAAAGTCCTTGGATATAGTCAAATTGTATATAAAACAGAGAGTTAATAGGATAGTCCTAAAAAAATGGATAATTTGCCAGTGTAGGCCCTGCTTCTGCAAACAATTGCACATGTATATTACTTTTCACACTTCTTCACCCACTGATGTGTGTCAAATGCATAGTTGTTCTTACTTCATTTTCTTTAAAACCTCTCTGTATGATACATCTATGTATGGAATTTATATCAAAGACAGAACCAGTTATTAAAGTGACGTTCCCATTTTTAGAAGAATATGAACATCTTCTTTGCCCAAACAGCCTAGTAATCCATTTCTCAGTAAGTCAGTTTCAGGAGACACAATTTTTTTTGTCTCAATTAAACTGCTACAGTTATTGGAATGTTTCCGTTTTTATACTGGGGTAGTTAATCATTGAAATATGAAAATGAGGGGAAGGCATGCATGTGCTATAGGTTTTCGAATGGTAGAAGCATAAGGCCGGATTTGTCAAAAAGAACCATAAAGGCAAATCACTGCAGACTCATTAAGCCACTGGTAGACAACCCATGGCCCAAGGGCTATATGCAGATCATCAGGGTTCTGTGCATGGCCAACCCCTCTGCAGCAAGTCACAGTGCTGCTATGGTTCAATTGGCACAGCCTTCACATTCTACGTATGCACGTGCCGTGAGCACAACTGGGAGAGTGTCTTGGTTACTACCATCTTGCAGCCATGGAGATGAAGGAGATCCACTCATGTGGCCCACTCATTGGCCTAGGTTGCTCATTGTTACTAGAGAACAATGTCCCCTTAAGCACGGCTTTATTGTAACCCTAATGGCAAGTTGCTCACTGTGAGGCAGTACAAATTATTTAGACTTTCATGAGATTTTAGGTCACTAGCAGTTGGTTCCTTAGTAGTATTGCCCACAGACATGAAACAGGATCCAAAGTTTGACGTTATTTCATACAGTCTTAATTAACTGACTTATAAAGATGCTATTTTTTGGTTTCCCTTTCTAGCTGTTTAGAAGACAACAAAATGAAACGAAAGGAAAATCAACAATGGTGACTGGATGACCGCGTTTAGAAGCAATGTTTCCAAAACAAAACAGTGAAGAACCAGACAATCACTTTGGCCAAACAAGTTTCTGAGAGTGACTGAGAAAGCTACTCTTGATACAGTCAAAATAACTCCAAGGTAGGATGAAGTTTCCTTTCTTTCTATTACACAGATTGTGCAGATAGTAATATAAAATACAGTGTCGGCACCAAAACACACATGTTAAAGAATGTCTCTTAGGTAAGCTGATATCATGTGTAGCAGTAGGGAAAAACATTTAAAGAACAAATCATGTATATAATTTGTTCTATAGATCAGCTTTTGGCAAGCAGAAGCATTGCTGTTGGGTTTTTAAATAACTCTTTGCCAAATAGTAACAATTGCCTCTTGCCAAAATCACAGCAAGGTCAAACAAGTATCCCAGAGGCTGGATCATCTGGTCTGACCACCTCACAGAATGCCAGGGGGGGTTACCCAGATAAGGAGGTAATGAGTTTCTTAATTTGTTGCAATGCATCTAATTTTTAATTTTACCCCTAAAAAAAGAAGGCCCACACTTCTACGCTTTTCTAGTCTCTACTCCCTACCACCCATGCTGACCCCTTATGGAGAGTCCATGATCACGGTTAGATGAAGGAGAATGTCATAACACACACAGAGCCAAGCACAACCCTGAGGAAGATAGACGTAACGGAAACAATATTGTAAATGTGTCTGTGCGCAGGAATCAGTTGCTCTCTGCTTCTCTGCCTTTCAGTCTGTGAGCAATAGACTCGACACATGGAGCGGGTGAGCTGGAAAACGCAGGAAGCCGCATTCCCCTGCATTTGACACACACATTTCCCTCTGCAAATTACGATTTTGCAACCTGCTTCAAAGGCCCTATTCTACTTTCCTCAACCCGTTCTCCCTCTCACGCAGCGGCGACAGCTGTCAGAGGGCTATTTCCTCCACCTCCCACCCAATCAGCCTCCGATCTTCACGACAACCCAAAGTGAAGCCGTTGGGCGGTTCACACTAAGGGTGAGTCTCCACAGCAGCATTATTTTGGAATATCAGACGTTTTTCCAAAATAACGTATTGCACATCTACACAGCAAGCCCGTTACTACAAGAAATACATTCGAAATACCGGGCTCCTTACTCCGACTTCTGTAAACCTCGTTGTACGAGGAGTAAGAGAAGTTGGAGGAAGAGTGCTTTATTTCTAAATCAGTGCTGAGTAGACATGCCCAAATTCAAAATAAGCTGTTTCGACTTAAGCTGCTCAAGTTGCGTAGCTTATTTTGAGTTTGCCCCTGCTGCATAGATGTACCCTGACAGAGTTGTCAGGGCAGCACAATATTCTGGTGAAAGAGATGCTATCAAGAGCCAGAGGCCTAAAAAAAAACAAAAAACAAAACAAAACAACAGAAGCCCTTTAGAAAGGAAGGTAGCTCGGGAGGCATCTCTGGAAGTGACTACTCACTCGTTAGGGTGCTTGATCAGTTTGGTGGGGTTGTGACTTTTGAGGGGTAGTTTGTTTTTTACCGCTTCACTCACAGGGACTGTCATCCTCTTTATCCGGATACAGTCAGTCTGCAACTTGCCTCCTGCTACTGCACTGCATTGCTGTACACCGTTAAACAGCTGCTAGCTTCCATTGTAAGGACTGCTGCTTTAGTCAGGGGTTAGGAACGAGGTTCCCTCTAAGTTTTTCCTTCCTTGGGTGGAATAAATTTTGTTATGTGCACTGAGGAATGTACAGAAGTGCACCACCCAGAGAAACACATGCTATCTGCGGTGAGCTGGTCTCTAATCAGCTGAGCAGCACCTGAATCTCTGCTGGGCAGTAGCCCAAGCACTCAGCTTACAGGGAACAGTGGTGAGGGAAGTGAACCCTTACCGAGACATGTCTAGTGCAGTAGACTACCATCGAACACATGCCTTCCTTTAAACCCATTAACCCTGGAGGAACACAAGGATACAGTCACTTCTGTATGTGCCTATGTACAAAGATCCCTCCCGGCTCATTACCACTTTCTTTCTTATAAAGGTATACATTGAGAGCCTTTTCAGCCTGCCCATGTGCTTTTAAAGATACCTTAACATTCATTTCCTAAGCAGTGGCTGACAGTTTTTGAAAATGAAGCCATAAAAGCCCCAGTACCTGCTGCTCAGAGCTCAAAAACCTTTGAGTCAACAGCGGGAAAGAGGCTCTGTATACATCCCCCCTATAATGGCCAGCTTTTCTCCTCTTGTTTATTGAGACAGTTCAGAATATTTAAACAGTTGTATATTCAATGATTACAATGGAAGGAAGAGAATTACCTAAGGACAGGGTTAGCCTGTTTGATCAATGCATAATCAGATAACTGCTCCAGCTTTTTTACAAGTCTTTAAGCAAAGATCAGCCACTCAAATTCTAATTCCTTTTGCTAATTAAGCAGCCTGTTAATTGCTCTCAGGGTCTCTAATGCCATGTCATTATGCTTTTTAACAGCCTGCTTGACATCAATAGGCCTGCAAGCTCCAACAAACAAAGCGGGCATCTAGCACTTAATGAATTAGGTTAATGCTGGTATTCTAACTGGTCATTGGCACATCGCCTTTAGCGTGCAGGATTGCATTATAATTTCATCATCTTTCAGGGAAAAAAGCAAGTTACAAATGTTCAACACTTACCATAACAGGCAGCAAAAAGTACTGAACCTCATACGAAAGGACCAAAAAGATTTTTTCCCCCCCTTTTTTTCCGCTGGTCAATGGGACTTGCATAATTGCTTCCTAAAAAACACAACATCAGCGCCACCTTTTCAAAACACCAGCTCGTTTTCAAGTTCCTTTGACGACGTCCGTGTCAGTCAAACTACTTAATGTACCACAGAGGTTCTAAACTAGGAATGCCACAAAAAAATTAAAGGGAAAAAAAAGGATTTCCTTTCACCCCTCTACCCCCTCTGATAGGAAAGCCCTGTAGAAATGAATGTGAAATGGTGTTGTGTCTACAGAACGTTTTTTCTACTCGGCCCTATAGAATTTATGCGAAAGCTGATTCAACATCCCATAGGAAGGATGTGTTTCTTTGTTAAATCCTGTAGGTTTTTAAGAAGATGGCCCCGTGAATTTCTATAGAACCAGGGTGCTTCCACCCCTTATTAAGTCTTAGAAAAAGTTTGCAGCTGTTTTGCGTGAGGGTCTGCCTAAAGTGAAATACACATCTACTCGGCCCTATAGAATTTATGCGAAAGCTGATTCAACATCCCATAGGAAGGATGTGTTTCTTTGTTAAATCCTGTAGGTTTTTAAGAAGATGGCCCCGTGAATTTCTATAGAACCAGGGTGCTTCCACCCCTTATTAAGTCTTAGAAAAAGTTTGCAGCTGTTTTGCGTGAGGGTCTGCCTAAAGTGAAATACACACGCAC